CAGGAAAGTGCCAAAATTTAAAAACAGGCATCAATGCCTGTTTACATGCAAGCGTTCCACCGGCTATAGAGCCAGCGAATCGCTTGTATAACGAGCTGTTATGTGCGCCCCCACACACTGTTCCGCTGGTCCCGGGCTCCGCTGTGCCCGGTGCAGCATTGTGGCTCTGTGACAGGGGATCAGAGGGAGATCCGTACACGACCTCCCTCTGGTCTCAGAATGCGGAAGTGATGTATGTTACATCACTTCCGCATTCTTGTGTCCCTCTCCAGCTTCAGAAGCTGATGAAGCAGATCTCTGCTTCATCAACTTCTTTGGAGGTCCCTAGGTGACAATAGGGGTCTTGGAGACCTCTGATGTCTCCATAAACAGGGCCTGTCACATCCTCTTTGCTATCACATAGGGGAGTTTCTTAGCCCCCTATGTGATAACAAAGTTAAGTGGGGGAAAAAATAGGAACAAAAAATTAAAGTTGTATAAAAAAATCTAACGTCACACATGAAAAATTATTTTTAAAAAACACCATTTTTTTTAAAAGTCCCCCACCCTTGCGTCTGGTGCGCCTACATGCGAAAACGACGATTACACCCATTAAGCGGCACATGTTTCAAATCGCCATTAGCTTCGCAGTGAGAGCAATAATTCTAGGGCCATTAATCACTGATAACACTAAACTGATAAGCGGTAAAAGCTTTTAAAGCGCCAGCTATGGTCAATTTTGGGTATGGGCGTTTTTGCGATTTCGCAGGTGCGTGCAATTTTAAAGCTTGACATGTTTGGTGTCTATTTACCCGACGTGACTCCGTCTTTTATATTTTACCAAAAAAATTGGGTAATATTAAATGTTTTATAACATAATGTAAAAAAATAACTTTTTTTTTTCAAAAGTGTCAGTAATTTTTACTTTATATAGTATAAAATAAAAACCCCAGTGGTGATTAAATATCACCAAAAGAAAGCTCTATCTATCCCCAAAAAATTGTATAAAATGAATTTCAGTATAGTTTTGCCTGATGGAATAAATGTCAGTCAAAGTACCGTAGCGCTAAATACTGAAAAATGGCCGGGACAGGATGGGGGTGTAAACACCTGGTCAGCAAGTGGTTAAAGTGGAGCTTGCTTCAGAATGCATGGTCCATTTATCTTTTAGACTAGTACATGTAAAATACTCCGATAATTAGAGATAGGGCAAACTTTTATGAATTTATTTACTGAGATTTCTAAACACATACAGTCTTTTAATGCTAATTATTTTGGGTTTAATAAAAGAAAATATGGACACTGTCAAATAAATTCTGGATGTACTGCAGGAGACAGTTTATGCCTCGGAAGTACAATATGTGAGACATTCTCTTTTGGCTTTATCAGATGTACAGCTAATTGAACCGATTCACGACGCATCATGTGGAACGTACACTGAGTAATGGATGAGCATCAGGATACACTAATTTGTCCTTGTTTTACCTGATTTAATATTAACTATTCAAATAAAAAGATGCAAATTCTGGAACATTCTAAGAGAGCCAGGAATACCTATTTTTTTTATCAGGCAACTGTCATCAGTTTCACCAACTTAATGAATGACAGAAAATGTCACAATGTGTTATGTTTGTATTTGTTTACATGTCACTGAAGGTTATTTGTCATTAACTCATTAGAATTGCTGGAATACATTTTCCAACCATCACTATTTTTAGCCAAACTCCTATTACAGGCAGCTTCATGTATATGAATAAATACACAGAGGGGTCCTTTACCATCAGGCTAAAGGTTTTTTTAAACAGTTGTCTATATAGAAATCAGTGGGGTCACAAGGAGGGTGCGGGGTATGGTCCGCAGTGGGTGACACCATCGGAGTCATTTTGGTGTCACCCCCTTTGAAAAATCGGGCATTCATTAATGAACCGAGATCCCGACCTTTGCATGAGAGAGGAGGGAACCTGGCGGCATACCTTATTCTGCCAGGTGAACGTTCCCTCCTCTTTTTGCCAGCGTCCATCACCTATATGGCCACCAGCAGGTAAGCATGCGTAACATCCAGAGGCGTAACTAGAACCTTCAGGGCCCCGGTGCAAGAAACCATGAAGCCCACCCCCCCAACCGCCATGGCACCGCATGGTTAACAGGAAGGCCGCCGAGGTCCCCAGCAAGCACGGGACCTCTGGCAGCTGCTTGTTTAAAGATTTAGTGTCTTTGTTCTGTCGAGAACACTTACCCAGTATCTGCGCTTGCGTACAGACGGGATTACCGAGAAAACCGGCATTTATTTACAAAGTATTAGTTTGTAATTGTTAATTGTGACTGTCAATAATATGTTGTCCATGGCAGGAAATGATGGATGGCAGTTACATAGTATTTGAGGTTGAATAAAGACATTAGTCCATCAAGTCCAACCTATTAGGATCTCATTCTAGGAGTACCTGTACCCCTGTATATTGCGGTCCCTTAAGAAATCGTCCAAACGTTTATTGAACAATTCCACATTCTTTGCTGAAATCACCGCCTGTGGCAGTGAGTTCCAGACCCTAACTGATCTTACTGTGAAGAACCCCCTTCGCCCCTTGTGCTGGAATTTTTTTTCCGCCAATTTTAGGTGATGGCCTCTAGTTTTTGTAATGGAGTTAATTTTAAACTGTTTATCGCTAATGTTGTTACCACTATTGAACATTTTGTACATGGAAATCATACCCCCCCCCTTAA